CCCCTCCCACTTCCTCCCCATAGTTACCTCTTCCCTGTGTCTTTCCCTCCCCTGCACTCCTGCCCTCGAGCTGTCTTCCTGTACATACACTGCCCTTCTATTCTGCCATGATTGTTCTCTCCAAGGAGTGTATCTACCTAACGTAAATGTTCAATTCATATGCCCGTCTTTTGTTTGGCTGGAAGCCACAGGAGTGGGTTCAATTCCAGACCTGAAGGGCAGCAGGGGCCATAGTCTCAGGGGTTCCATCAGGCTCTAACAGACCAGCAAACCTGATCTTTTTCTTTTTTTTTATGATTTTGAGTTTTGTCCCACACTGTTCTCCCACTCTATCCAGGATCTCCTACATACATCCCCCTCCGAGTGGTTGACAGTGATAGCTAGGCACCATCCAGTTTTGATCTTAAAGTCATGGAGGTTGGGGTTTGTGTGATCCATTAGTCCTTTGGACGAATTGTTTCCATGCATCCTTGATTTTCTTCGCTCTTCTTTACTCCAGATGGGCAGAGACCAATAGTTGTACCTTAGATGGCTGCTTGCAAGCTTTTAAGACCCCAGTCACTGCTCACCAAGTAGGATGTAGAACATTGTCTTTGTGGACTATGTTATGCCATTTGACTTTAATATCCCCTAAGACCATGGTCTGCAAAATAATTTGTAAAATTCCAAAATAACTAATATTCTTCAACACCAAAATGTAAGCAATATCTAAATGTGATCTCATTCTAGGGCCACTGTGGACCTCAGGATGATACTGGCTTAGGTGAGAATAACAATGACAATTACAGCTGCAGCGAGTCAGCGTTAATTAAGCACCTACTGCATGCCTGCCCAATGCTAAGCTTTTTGTATGCCTGTTGCTCTGCTCTGTAGTTACGTATTGGATTATCTCCATTCCACAGGTGAGGAAATCCCATGCTCAGAGACCAGAAGACATTGGCCACATTCATACCCTTAGGAGGGATTCAAACCTGGGGCAGGGGCAGAAATGGATGTACCTGGAGACCCCGCAGGGCAGAGATTCCCCTGTCCTCTTTATGTCCCTAGCACATGGTGCTGCATACAGTTGGCATTCAATAAGTGCACACTGGCTAAATGACCAATGCCTAGTGCTGAGCACCTTGGATGTGGGGAGCCACCACGGCCTAATGTTTGACCTGCCTCTCCTCAGAGTCCTGCCTCTGCCCCCTCAAGACGGATGAAGCCCAGGAATTCCAGCTGCGGCGGCGGTGGCTCAGGTCGCAGACCCCAGTAGATCCCTGGAGCAACTGGAGCAGTTCTGTGTGTGTCCCTGCCGGTAAGAGTACCCAGGCCACAGGAACTGGAGCAGACTTTGGAAATAAGACGGCAAATATTAGACATGAGGAAGAGGGTGTTAGAAATAAAGGAGGTGAGTGGTAGAAACAAGGCTGTGAGGGTTAGAAACAAGGTGTTAGGCATTAGAAATAAGACACCAGGATAGATGAGTGCTGTTCTTCAGAGATGGGATTGGGCCATAGACCTTCAAACCCTCAGGATGCAGTGCCCGGGCCCCACAGCACTCTCTCTCTCGGGCTCTGTTAAGTGGGCCACATTGGGCCGAACTTCTGAGTGCCATCTGCCTGAAGCAGTTAAATGGGTTGCTGCCCCCAACCCTTGGCAACAGGCAACTGAGAAAGGAAGTTTCAAACTGTGTCAAAGAAAAAGTTGGGACAGCCCCAAATCCCAGGTAATGGTTATTCCTGGGGCGAACTTGGCCCAGGAAGGGAGGATGGGAGGGACTCCCAGCCTTTGCCTCCATCCCGGAAGCCATTGCCTCCTCCTGCCCCAAGTGCTGGGAAACAGCCCAGTGGTTTTCGCAAACTTTTTTTTTTTTTTTGCAATTTTGATGTCTTATATTTACTACTCTCTCTCTCTCTTTTTTTATTTTTTATTTTTATTGTGATTTGGGTGAAAGTCTACAAAGCAAATTCACTTTCCATACAGCAGCTCACATACACTTTGTCTCATGACATTGGCTGCAATTTCCCACAATGAAACAGCTCCCCTCCCACTTCCTCCCCAATAGAAGGTGCATATTCAGCCCTTCTATTCTCCCATGATTGTTCTCTTCCAAGTGTATCTACCTAATGTAAATGTTCAGCTCATATTCCTGTCTTTTATTTGACTGGAAGTCACAGGAGTGGGTTCAATTCGAGACCTGAAGGGCAGCTAGGGGCCACAGTCTCAGGGGTTCCAACAGGCTCTATCCGACCAGCAAACTGGTCCCTTTTATTTTTTTCACGAGTTTAATTTTGTTCCACATTGTTCTCCCACTCTATCCAGGATCCCCTACATAGATCCCCCTCTGAGTGGTTGACAGTGGTAGCCGGGCACCATCTAGTTCTCGTCTCATAGTCATATAGGCTGAGGTTCGCATGATATACCAGTCGCTTGGGCTAATTGTTTCCATGTGTCTTTGGTTTTCTTCATTCTGCTTTGCTCTGGATGAGGAGAGACCCATCATTGCATCTAGATGTCTGCTTGTGAGCTTTTAAGATCCCAGTTGCTACTCGCCAAAGTAGGATGTGGAACAATGTTTTGTGTAGTATGTTATGCCAATTGAGCTTGATGATTTTGGGAACTCTTTAACAACCCACACGCATCCGTATTTCATGGGAGGGAGGGAGACAGTCCCAGCGTATTTGTCCGTCTTGTTGCAGAAATCCCCCCACAGCTCAAGATGAACTGCTCAGTGGAGCTGCTCCGCCCAGATGGAAGGAGGCGCCTGATCTTGCAGGAGCAGGTATTGGGGTCATTGTAGGACTGTGGCAACAGGAGACATGAGGCTGGAGGGAGGTGAGCAAGTGGGAGATGGACATGAGACATGAGGGTCCCAGGGGCCAGGCGGCTGGTGGGTTTTTCTGTGAAGGTAATAGGGAGCCATGCAGGGTGTGTGAGCAGGAAATGGCCATAGTTGGACTCAGGCTCTCTCTGGCTGCCATGGGAGGACAGATTGTAGGGGGTGAAGGTGGAAGCCAGAAGACCAGAGAGAAGGTCCAGCTGGTCACTGATGGCAGGCTGGCTCAGGGTGGGGGGAGTGAGATTTCTCTATATTCCAAAATAATTCATTAAGTACAGTCTAATTAGCCCCATTTTACGGAGGAGGAAACTGAGGCACAGAGCAAACCCTCTTGCCTGAGTCAGTGGCAAACGGCCAAATATTCTACCCAACAGCTTTACCACAATTGACTTAGCAGGTATGGTCCAACCCACACTGACTCCATATATATCCAAGTAGAACTGTGTTCCCTACAGCACATATGGAGCAGCTTTACTCTGCACTCATTGGGTTGCCATGAGTCAGCATCAACTCAATGGCAACTAACAACAACAACAAAAACCAATGATTAATGGGAGTGATTGCCAGTTTCCCAGCAACCTTGCCAGCATTGTGGTTTATCACTTTTAAAAACTTTTTGAACTTTCAGTGCACGCAATTCACTGTGACCCTGGGTGGGTCTGTTCTCACAGGCCATGTCCTGATGTCGGTCTGTGAGACAATGAGTGTATTCATGTTCCAACAAGCCGTCTCTTGTGCTCACAGCCGCTGCCCCAACTTGAGCTTCCAGAAGGCTGCCACAGAACCACTCAGGACATGGAGGCAACATACCGCATCCACTTGCACATGTTGTCCTGCCCGTGCCAGGCCAGGCCCACCAGGACTCTACCTCTGAAGAAAAAACTTAACCTCTCGGGTGCTGCCTACAACGTGACTGTCATCTCTCGGAATCGCTTTGGTCCCAGCCACAACCAGTCATGTCTCATTGCCGCTGACAACCATACAGGTACCTCTGCAGGTTGGTGGGGAGGGCAGCGGAGAGGGGCCCTTGTAGCTGAGCACCTACTCTGAGAAATAGGCACAAAAATTTAAGGGGGTGTTTAATTTAAAGGTGTGTCAAAACACTCAATAATTAAGACATGTAACAGTATAATGCAATATTATAATGCTGTATAATAATCTCATCAGCGAGGTATAGCCTGCTGGGCTGGATGCCTGTTTTTTTGTACTTTTTAAACTTTTTTTTTTTAACCTTTTATTGTGATTTGGGTGAAAGTTTACATCGCAAATTCATTTTCTATTCAACAGTTCATACGCATTTTGTTCCATGGCATTGATTGCAATCCCCACAACGTAACAGCTCTCTTCCCACTTCCTCCCTGTGTACCTTTTCCCTGTGTCCTTTTTTCCTATGCATTCCTGCCCCATGAGCTCTCTCCCTGCACAAATGCTGCCCTTCTGATCTCCCATGGCTCATTTTTCTAAGGAGTGCACATGCATTGTGTAATTGTTCACGTTGTAGGCCTGTTATTTGGCTGAAAGTTAAACTATAGGAGTGAGTTCAGTTCCAGGCCCGAAAGGTGACTAGGGCTCATAGTCTTGGAGGTGTCACCAGTCTCCCATCAGAGCAGTAAACCTGTTCTTTTTCATGATTTTGCATTTTGTTCCACATTTTTCTCCCACTTTATCCAGGATCTCCAATTTTGATCCTTTTTCGAGTGGTTGACAGTGTGGTAGCTGGGCACCATCTAGCTCTTCTGGTGTCAGGGCCATGTAGGCTGAAGTTCCCATCATCCACTAGTCCCTTCAGGATGGCTTTTTTTTTTTTTTTTTCCAGTAAAGTTTTCTCAAGACCAGGTCCAAAATCAGGGTTAGGAGAGTGACATAGTTGGTTCATGAAAGGGCAGAGTCAGATCCTGCCTTTATTTAAAATCTTAACATTTTGTTCATTTTATGTGTTTTTATATTTTATTTTTTGTTGAGGTGAAATTCACATAATAAAATTAACCACTCTGCAGTGTGCACTTCCCTGGCTTTTAGTCTATTTGCAATGTTGTGCAACCACCACACCTATCTAGTTCCAAATCATTTTCATCAGCCACCCCAAATGAAAACTCTTCCTATTAGGAGTCATTTCCCATTGCCTTCCCTTTTCCAGCGCTAATTCATTATCTGTCTCTATGGATCTGCCTGCTCTGGACATTGCATGTAAATGAAACCATACAATTTGTCCTTTGGTGACTGGCATTTCACTCAGCATCATGTTTTCAAGGTTCATCCTTGTTGTAGAGGTATTAGAGCTTCATTCTTTTCATGGCTGAGTGGTATTCCATTGTGTGGAAGGACCACACTGTGTTTACACATCATCTGTTGATGAACTCTGTTGTCTCTACTTTGTGGCTGGTGTGAAAAATGCTTAACATACATTTTCTTTGCATTATTATTTTTTCGAAAACAGTGAGTTTTTTGGTGCCCCCTTTAAATTTTGTGCCCATGTTGAATGCCTCACTCTCCTCACCCTACTCCTGGCCCAGCTGTGCCCCCAGAAAACTTCTGAGGACAGGACTGTTTTAGAGATGAGAAGACCGAGACTCAGGGAGATGAAGCCTCACCTTCACTGGGTGGTCCTGAGTGAGTGGCTCTCCTCTGAGCCTTGGTTTCTGCGTGTAGAGTCATCACAGTCCCACTTCACAGCAAAGTGGTGCCTATAAAGTACTTGGCACTGGCCTGGTGCATACAACCGGTGCTCAGTAAATGGTGGCTGTCGTCCCCAGCGTTGGAAGCAGCTCCTACCTCTCAGAGATGGCTGCCAGATGCCCTGGCTGTTGTGTGTGGGAAAGATGGCCCAGGGCACCAGATGACCTAGTCCTTGCACCTCTGAGCCCAGGGTTTGGCGCCAGGGGGCGTGATCCAGCCAGGGAGGCTTGGTCCTGGGGCCACGCCCTCTGCTGCGTGGAGCAATGGTGGGTGACAGGCATCTGGAAGAGCAGGAGATACCCGCTGCTGGCAGTGGGAGTTGGGGTGGTACAGGGAGCACTAATGGGGGACGTCATGGCAGGGAGCCCACAATCAGGCTGAGGCAGCCAACTCAGCCCATTCCAACACCCTCCTGCAGCCTCCTGTGTGCCCAGCCCCCAAGCAGTTCCCAGTGTGAGGAAGATAAAGCCAGATACAGACACCCCACCCCTGTGGGGTTAGGAGCACTGGGAGCTTAGTGCCTTAAGGCATTTGACTGCTAACCAGAAGGCTGGCGGTTCAAACCCATCAGCCACTCCTTGGAAGGAAGGTTGGGCAATCTACTTCCACAGTGATACCTCCTTGGAAACCCAAGGAGGGGGTCGCTATGAGTCTGACTTGATGGCACATAACTCTGGTAGCATAGTGGCTAAAGCACTTAACTGCTAACCAGAAGGCTGGCGGTTCAAACCCACCAGCCACTCCTCAGAAAGAAGGTTGGGCAATCCTACTTCCATAGTGATACTGCCTTGGAAACCCAAGGAGGGGTCACTATGAGTCCAGCGACTTGACCGGTACATAACAACAACAACAAAAACAACCCCTGTGGGGTTAGGGCTGGGCCAGAGGATGAGGTGGGGCAGCCTCTAATGTGCTTCCTCCCATGCCCCTCCCTCTCTTTACAGAACCTGGAGCTCTAAAGATCAGTGTCGGAGCCAAGGGGACCATAATGCACTGGGCAGGCCAGGCTCTGAACACAACGTACTGCATTGAGTGGCAGCCCCATGACCAGGACAGGAGCCTTGCTAACTGTACCCTGACACACCAGGCCCCGGACGTGGCTGGAATGGGTACGGGAATGTGAGGTACCCTGCCTCTGTGTTCTCTATTAGCATTCCTGGCTGTCTCAACCATCAGGGATGGTCCACAGGTTCTCTGAGGCCCAGAGAGATGTTGCCACTTGGTGAAGGTCACATAGCATAAGGGACAGGCGGAGACTTGAACTTTCTCACCCATGCTGGTCTTGAGACTCCTTCTGAGAGTTTCAGGGCTCAGCCCTGGGGAGATTGCACTCCAGTGGATAATGAGTCTCACGTTCCAGGGTGTTTGTTAAACATTCACCTACACTGACTGGGAAGGTGACACCTTGTAAGACACGGGTGGCAAATTAATGAGGTCGCTGGAGGGAAAGGGGGGGCAGTGTGTAGTCCTGGCAGCCTCTTGCTCACCCACTTTCTCTCCTGGGCCCAACTGGTGCCCCAAGAAGCTTTAGCCTTGACCTGGCTCTTGAGAAGCCCCCAGCTTGGAGTGGACAGAGCTGGACACAGACACTCTGTCCCCATGGAGCAAAGGCTGGGTTGGAGAAGGGAGGCAGGTTGAGAAGGAGCCACATGGAAGGAGTCCCGGAGGAGGGGACATTAGCACAAGGGCTTTGAAGCATGAATAGGAGTTCTCTAGGGGATCTGTGCAGATGTCACAGCCAGTGCAAAGGTGGCAACACAATCTATTTGCTGACCCAGCCTTTACTTACTCTTCCAGTGATGCCCAGCTGGAGCCCAGCATCAGCAGTGAGCCAGGAGGGGTGTTATCGCATCACCGTTTTTGCCTCCATGTACCCGGAGAAGCCCAACATGTGGTCCACGGTCCTGTCCACCTACCACTTCTGGGGCAATGGTGAGTGGTCCAAACCTGCGCCATCATCTCCCTGAAGGAGTGAGGAGCATTTGTTGTTGTTGTTGTTATGTGCCATCGAGTCAGCCCTGACTCATAGCGACCCCTCCTTGGGTTTCCGAGGCAGTATCACTACGGAAGTAGGATTGCCCAACCTTCCTTCCGAGGAGTGGCTGGTGGGTTTGAACCGCCAGCCGTCTGGTTAGCAGGCAAGTGTCTTAGCCACTATGCTACCAGAGCTCCCGAGGAGCATTTAGAGGCACCTAATTGGGCAATCTACTTCCGTAGAGATGCTGCCTCAGAAACCCAAGGAGGGGTCACTATGAGTCGGATCCAACTCGACGGCAGTGAGTTTGGTTTTATGTGTCAGGCCAGGGGGCAGTGGTGGTTTGGTGGTAGCATTCTCACCTCTCATGAAGGAGACCCAGGTTCATTCCCAGCCAGTGCCCCTCACGCTCAGCCACCACCCACCCAACTGTCAGTGGAAGCTTTCGTATTGCTAGAGTCCTCAGCTGGTTTCAGTGGTGCTTCCAGACTAAGATGAACTGGGAAGGAAGCCCTGTCTATCTGCTTCCAAACATCAGCCCATGAAAACCCTATGGAGCACAATGGCCCAGTCCACAAGTGGTTGATGACACGGCTCAGGACTGGGCAGCATCTCCTTCTGCTGTGCACTGGGTCACCATGAGTCAGGGACCTACTCACTGGCAGCTAACAACAACTGTGTGTCAGGCCCTAGCCAGCAGTCAGCTCAATCAAGTCCTAAGCTACACAAAACAGCACTGCCCCCACTTTATAGATTAGAATCTGAGGCTCACAGAGGGGATGTGACATCTGCTAAGTGATGGAACCAGGATTCAAACCCATGAAGTAAGGGCCGGGCTGGAGAAGGAGGATGGGTTGAGGGAGTGTCATAGTGAAAGGGTCCTAGAGGAATGGGCATTAGTGTAAGGGCATGAATAAGAGTTCTCTAGGAGCTCCCTGTCTGAGTCTCAGTTTTCTTTTCTATAGAATGGGACAATGCTGCTCGGGTAACTTAAGAGTTGACTGAGCTGACATCTGGCCACATAACTCTGAGGCCAGGGTTATCCTGTCCTTGGATGGTGCCAGGGCTGGATATACAGAAAGTGCTCAAACACTGCTCTTGGTGTTGACTGTGGTGGTGCTGGTTGCAGCCTCGAGGGCCGGGACTCCACAGGACATCTCGGTGAAGAAACATAGCACAGACTCGGTGTTGGTGCACTGGGCAGAGTCGCCCCTGAGCTCCTGCCCTGGCATCCTGAAAGGGTACGTCGTGCAGTGCCGGCATGAGGACAGCAGCCAGGTGTCAGGTATGCAGCCTGGGAGAGGAGTGGTCTGTGCCCAAGTTCTGCCCAGCTGTGTGACCCGGAGCACCTCACTGGCCCTCTCTGGGCCTTGATGCCCCCACCTGTGAAATAGGAGAATGGGATTCAAGGATCTGGAGAGCCCCTTCTAGAGCCCCAGAGAAGGTGGAGTTGGAATTGGGACCCAAGTCCACCTAACTCTGTGGCCAGGGTGACCCCATCCTTGGGTGGTGCTGGGGCTGGGTATACAAAAGTGCTCAATTCTTGGTGTGGAGGGTGGTGGTTACCTCTCACGTGTATCAGTAACTGACTCTCATTAGGTGGCCGTTAACGTCTTCATTTCACGATGAGGAAACTGAGACTTGGAGAGGGGACTTTACCTGCTCAGTAGTTGAGCAAGCCTGGGCTCTTCCACTGCCCCTTCCTGTCCCTCACCCATTTCCAACCCCACGTGTTACAAGTAGAACTGGGCTCCAAGGCGTTTTCTTGATTGTTATCATCACATAAGCAGATCACCAGGACTTCCTTCAATGGCACTGCTGGGTGGTTCAAACCACCAACCTTTCGATTAGTTGTTGTTATGTGCTGTCGAGTCAGACTCAACTCACAGAGACCCCTCCTTGGGTTTCTGAGGCAGTATCACTACAGAAGTAGATTGCCCAGCCTTCCTACCGAGGAGTGGCTGATGGGTTTGAACCGCCAGCCTTCTGGTTAGCAGTCAAGTGCTTTACACACTACCTCTATATTGCCTGGAGGGGAAATTGAAGCCTCCTGGGGAAACAGTGGCTATTTTGGTTTCCTGGGGCTGTTGTAACAGTACCACAAGCGGAGTGCTTAGAACAGGGATTTGTGCTCTCTCAAAACCCTGCTGCCACTGAAAATAGGCTGGAGGCCAGAAGTCTGGAATCGATGTATGGCCGGGCTGCACTCTCCCAAAGGCTCTAGGGAAGGAGTCTTCCTCACCTTTTCCAGTTCCAGGTGGACTCAGGAGGCGCTCTGGTGGTGTAGTGGGTAAGGCATTTATCTGGCTGTTATAGCAGTTCAAACCCCCAGCAGAAGGAAGATGGGGCAATCTATTTCAAGAAAGATTTATAGCCTTGGAAAACCAGTGGAGGTCAGAATTGACTGGATGGCAGTGAGCTGATTTTGGGTGGACTCCGACCACCATCTTGTTTTATAAGAACACTGCTTGGATGGGATTAGGACCCACCCCTTGTGCCCTTATGCTAACCTAACTAATACAGCTTTAAAAGACCCTGATTCCAAACAAGGTCAGATTCACAGGCACATGGGTTAGTTAGGACTTCAGCTTATCTTAAGAGGGCATAATCAAACCCATAAAAAAAAAAAAGCCCACACAAACAAAAACCCAAACCCGTTGCCATTCAATTGATTCCTACTCATAGTGACCCCCGCTGGGTTTCCAAGGCAATAAATCTTTACAGAAGTAGATTTCCCCATCTTCCTTTGGTAGAGCGGCTGGTGGGTTTGAACCACCAACCTTCTGGTTAGCAGTCAAATGCCTTAGGTACTGCACTATCAGAGCTCCTTAAGCCAACCCACAGCAATGTCTTATTCAGGGTTCTGGAAGCAGCCCATCCACTTAAAACCAATTAGCCAAAGCCTGTTTGTTGAAGCCCAAATTTACCAATTCCCCAAAAATTCCTTTTGAGGAATGAGAATATTCCTCTTGAATAGGGTCAATGAATATGAATTCAGGGTTCTAAGAATATTATTTTCCTGATGACAGCAACTATATTCTAATTTTAAGGGTTTTTAAGGAGTGTTTGGTTAAATTAATTCTATTCCACCCACATTGTTGGAGAACTTTCTGTGTCAGTTACTGTCTGAGCATCTGGGGCTAATGGAGAATAAGATAGGCAAAGCCAGCACTAACCCTGAAAGCCAGAAGGAGGCGAGGGAGGAAACCACGTGGGTATCTAGGGAAAGAGTATATTCGGTGGCAGGAACTACCAGTGCAAAGGCCCAGGGGTAGGCCCAAGCCTGCTGCCTTTGAGGAACAGGGAGGAGGTGGATGTGGCACCCCCTCCATGTGGCAGCCTAGCTTCAGGGGAGCAGAGGGGTTCCCAGGACCTATGGCTGCCTCCTCCCACCTTCTGCAGAGCTTCCTGTGAATGCCACAGAGATCCAGGTCATCCTCCATGGCCTGCAGCCTGGCGTGACCTACAAGGTGCAGGTCCGAGCGGACATGACAGTGGGGCACAGTGCCTGGAGCGAGCCGCAGCAATTCAGCATCGGTGAGCAGTGAGGGCAGGGCTACACCCTCCATCCAGTCATTTACCCAGCATGCACTGTCCAACCCCACCCCGGGCTGCATTGGGGCCTCCCATTGGGATTCAACAAAGAGTCCCTTGCCAGCCCCTTCTGTAACTGTCCCTGGCAAACCTTCTCTCACACTGGGGGTGTTTCTGCCTGGAATGTCTCCCCAACCCCCTTTTGTCAAATTCCTACTGGTATTTATCCTTTAAAACCCAGCTAAGAAGCTCCCTCTTCTGAGGAGCCTTCCCTGCCTCACTGTACACGCCCGCAGCCACTGCCCCCTATCGCCCTGCCCTGACTCCTTGGGGCTGGGGGTGACTGTGTCTGACACTGCCCTTCCCCAGCCTAGGGCTCCTACAGAACTGTAGGGGTGCCGTGTAATGGAGAAGTGAATGATCGAGCCAACAAATGTGTCTTCTGTCACAAGGACAGGCAGACAGGCTTCGTTGCACCGGGGTTCATAATCACTAATGACCCCTGCTCTTGCCATAGTCCCTATCCATTGTCCTGGCTGTGAAATCCGGCCCCGAGAGAACAAGACGCAGGATTGGAGTTGGGTTGGGGGTGAAGCAAGGAGCCCAGGGGTAGAAACCACAGGGGCTCAGCCTGCAGACACCTCGAGCTACAATGTCTTGACCACTATATCACCCCAGCCACCTGGGCAGGAGGGTTCCATGGTCTCCACGTTACAGATGAGGAACATGAGGCATGAAGGGGCCCATGGCAGGTCACAGTCAGAAGCAAGTCAATGGAGGGCCTGGCCCACCCCTGCTCCAGCCTTGCCCCTTCCTGCTCCCCATCCCCTGGAGTGTCAGGAGATGCCCTCCCACACCTGAGCTCTCCTGCCCCCACGGCTCCCCTCCTGTCCTAGGGCCACTCGGGCACTCTGGGGGAGTCGGGCGCGTGCCACCCGAGCCCTGAGCTCTCCTGCCCCCAGAAGTTCAGGTTTCGGATTTGTCCGTCTTCCTGGTGTCGCTGGGCAGCTTCACAAGCATCCTCATTCTGGGCATCCTCGGGTACTTCGGCCTGAACAGGTAACTTGTAGTTCTCACCCCAGACGGGACCAGCAATAGTGACAGTGATGACAGCAATAACCGCGCACACTCGAGTAGGTATTTGCTTGTGCCCATCTTAGAGATGAGGAAACTGAGGCTTAGGTGGGCAGGGGTTGACCCAGAAGTGGGGACAGAGCTGGGATTTGAACCTGGGTCTGTCAAACTTTAGCTCCTCCCCAAACACACATCTGCAATGGTTTTTAGAATGTAACAACAAAGAAAAAATTAAGTCAGAACAATTAAAAAGTAAGAACAGGTGGAAGCATGGCTTTTCTGTCTGGCTCCCCTCTTACCTCTCCAGGGCTGCACAGTGGTTGTGCCCGCCCCTGCCTACACCCTGTGCCAGCACTGCCCTTGAGTTCCCTGGCAGCCAGGGAAAGCAGGTAAGTTGCTCCTTTTCTAATTCCTGGTTCTACTCATTAGACCCATACTCGGGGCTGGGTTCTGCTAAGCAAAGGCCATGCATTAGCTCATTTTATTCTCTCTCAACTCATCGCACTATGGACTCCAAGACTAGTGCTCCATACCCCTTCCCATTTTACACACAGGCAAGCAGAGGCCCAGCTAGGAACCACCTGTCAGTCATTTCCTAGCGACAAACATAGGATTCAAAGTGGCTTCAACAAAAAAGAAAGCTAATGGAATACCCCTGGGTGATGGACTTCAGGCACAGCTAGATCCAGGAACTAAGTCTCTGTTCTTTTTGGTGCTGTCCTCCTTGCTGTCCTCTCTTCCTTGGCAGCCCCCTCCCCCCACATGGTGGAAAAAAGGCTCCCGGAACTTGAGGCGGCTCTCTGCCCAATGGAAACAAGGTGTCCTTTATTTTCCCATTACCTCAAGCTAAAGTCCCATGGCCATCTCTGATTGGTCAGCTTAGGTCACATGCCTATCTCTGTGCCTATCACTAGAAGCAGGGGGCTGAAATGCTCTGATTGGCTGGGCCAGGTTACACACTCATCCCGACAGCTGGGGCGGGGCCCAAGCGTAACAACTGAAGAGAAATGAGGATGCTCTTCCTATGAGGGGGCTAAATGTAGGTCACTGAAGCAGACTCCAGACGTGGACTTGGTTTCAAAATCTTACAAAATTTAGCCAGCAGGGACTGTGTATGAATAGAAACAGAGGCCAGCCTACACCTTGTCCCTACCTCCCTTTCCAGGTTTGGCAGTGGATTAAGCCATTGGGCTTCCCAGAAGAGGCTCCCCAGCAGGAGGCCCTGGTGGTGGAGAAGTTCTGGGGCAAAGGCGAGGGGACTGGACTGGACATGGCTGGGCCTGTAGAGACAGAGCTAGCTCCCGAGGGCCAGGCTGAGGCTCCGGGGCCTGTCAGGCAAGATGGTCCGGCAGAGGGAAGCCTACTGCTCTCGCGAGACCTAATGCAGTGTTCCAGGCTTGGGAGCCCTAGGCACATCGAGGCTTGAAGGACAGGAATACCTTCTTCGTTTTACAGATAGCAGGACATGTGGACGGAACATCACAGTCACGAAGTCTGGTTATTAAGCGCCTACTGCATCCCCAGCCACGATCCAGCCAGATGCTCTCAAGGTTCCCCGAACCCCATAACCGCCCAGCAAGGGGTACTGTGGCTGCCTTGTTTTACAGATGGGACAACTGAGGTGCAGTGAGGAAGGGTGACTCTCCTGAGGCCACACAGCCAGAACAAGGGTCAGACTGGAGCGGACTTGAGCCCCTCACCGGCTTAGGGGCCCCTACCCCCGCAGCCTGCTCAGTGCAGCCCTTATCTCAATACATCATCCTAGGCCAGGAAACCCTAGAAACCACCCCAAACGGAAGCTGTTGCGCGAGGCCAGCCTGACATCCGGGGCGGGAATGGGCGCGGTCATTGATCCGCTTGGGGGCGGACTAGACCAAGAGGCGGCTGTCTGCTCAGGTTGGCAGGCAGAGCTAGGCTCGGTAGCACTGGAACCGGAGTCCAGGCTCAGAGCTCCCACTGCATTGCACGGTGTGGAGCCCCCAAGGCTCCAGGTGTGGGGAACAAGAGGGCACTCCCTGGGGGAGGCGACTGCCTCAGTCCCCTCCCTGGTGAGATGGGGGTAATAACACAATAAACGAGTCCCCACAGTGTATCTGCTCCCTGGCTGAAGCTTGACTGTCCTGCTCAAAATCCCCAAATAGAAGTCTGAGAATCTATGAATTAATTAATTTCTTCATTTCATAAACATTTATGCATCTCCCTCTGGGCCTAGCGGAGGAGCCCTCAGCTTAGGGGAGACAGAGCTGGACACACTCCTGCGCCCCAGCACACCCCGAATCCACCAGCTTTCCTGCCCCCGACCGCCTGACCTACCTCCTTGGCCTCCTGCCTTTGCCGCCCTTGCCCCTGACAGTCCCCAAGGGTTCCCATGGGTCTCCCGAACCCTCCCTTAACAAGCGTGTGGTTTCCATACCCACCATGGCCACCAGGTGGCAGCAGATGAGCGTGTCTCCCCAAGCAAATAGCCCTCCCCCTCCACTTCCAAAGCCATTAACCAAACAGAGGTTTCCGGTTCCAAGGTCTTGTTAGCCGTCGACAATACTGGCACGAGGGAACTGAATGCTACCGCATCCTAGACTGCCCCTATGATCAGGTGGGAAATGGACTATTGTAATCCATAGGGGTTTCACTGGCTTATTTTTGGAAGTCTACTGCCAGGCCTTTCTTCCTAGTCTCGCTGAGTTTGGAAGCTCCAGTGAAATTTGTTCAATGCCCAAGCAATACACAAGCCAGCTCTGAGAGACTGGTGGTGGTTGTGTATGAAGTACATTGGCCAAAATCGAACCCAGGTCACCTTCCTGGAAGGCAAAAGTTCTACCACTGAAGCACCACTGAACCACCAATGAATGGCTCCCAACCAGGGGAGGGCATTAAATCCCAGAAGCACTAAATTGAGGGGCGAAGGAGACGAGGCTTTGAGGGGAGAGCAGCCTGTAAGAAGGGAGGCCCGAGCTAGGTGAATAGTCCAGGCCTCACACTCCTCAGGGCCTCAGTTTCTCCAGGCCCTGGGGCTCCAGCTATATGTCCTGGTCACTGTTCTGTGAAGTCTCTCCCCTGGACCTGCCATCTCTTGGCTTTTGCTCAGGTCTCAGCCTCCTCCAAACAGGTGTTTAAGAGGGTCTTCCTTGTCATTCTGTAGGGCTGGCTCTGAACTGACTCTGGCTTGAAATTTCTGGCAACTCTTTGTTGGTATACGGCTGCAACTGTATTTGAATTATCTTTAGCAAAATTTAGAATCAAATTGGATTCAGAAGAGGATGTGGAACGAGGGATATCATTGCTGATGTCAGATGGATCTTGGCTGAAAGTGGAGAATACCAGAAAGATGTTTACCTGTGTTGTACTGACTATGCAAAGGCATTTGACTTTTTGCATCATAACAAATTATGGATAACATTGTGAAGAATGAGAATTCCAGAACACTTAATTGTGCTCGCAAGGAACCTGTACCTAGACAGAGTTAATCACTCCAAAGGGGATACTTTAAAATCAGTAGAAGTGTATGTTGAGGTTGTATCCTTTCACCATACTTACTCAATTTCTGTATTGAGGAAATAATCTGAGAAGTTGGACTATATGAAGAAGAACACGGAATCGGGATTGGAGGAAGACTCATTAACAACCTGTGATATGCAGATGACACACTATTGCTTGCTGAAAGCCAAGATTTGAGGCGTTTACAGATGCAGATCAGAGACTACAGCCTTCAGTATGGTTACACACACCTCAATATAAAGAAAACAAAAATCCTCACCACTGGACCAATAAGCAACATCATGATAAATGGAGAAAAGATTGAAGTTGTCAAGGATTTCCTTTTACTTGGATCCACAATCAACACCCATGGAAGCAGCAGTCAGAAGATCAAATGGCATATTGCATCAGGCAGATCTGCTAAAAAAGATCTCTTTAAAGTGTTAAAAAGCAAAGATGTCACCTTGAGGACTAAGGTGCACCTATCCCAAGCCATGGTATTTTCAGTTGCCTCATATGCGTGTGAAGCTGGACGATGAATAAGGAAGACCAAAAATTTGATGCCTTTGAATTACAGTGTTAGCAAAGAATATTGAATGTACTATGGACTGCGAGAAGAACAAATAAACCTATCTTGGAAGAAGTACAGCCAGAATGTTCCTTAGAAGTGAGGATGGCCAGCCTTTGTCTCTTGTACTTGGGTTATGTCATCAGGAGGGGCCAGCCCCTGGAGAAGTCCATCATGCCTGGTAAAGTAGAGTCAGTGAGAAAGGAGAAGACCCTCAATGAGGTGGATTGACACCATGGCTGCAACAATGGGCTCACATAGCCGTGCCGATGAAGATGGTGCACACAGGGCAGCGTTTCATCCTGTTCTACATTGGGTCCCTATGAGTCAGAAAGGAGCTATGGTAGCATAGTGCCTAAGGCACTTGACTGCTAACCAGAAGGCTGGTGGTTCAAACCCACCAGCCACTCCTTGGAAGGAAGGTTGGGCAATCTACTTCCGTAGTGATACTGCCTTGGAAACCCAAGGAGGGGTCGCTGTGAGTCGTGGCTGATTCGAAGGCACATAACAACAACAACAACATGAGTCAGAAGTGATGGCACTTAACAACAACTCTGGCCTGAGGAGAAGGTGGGCAGGGCCAGGGCCAAGTGATTGGAGAAGAGGTCCCCACAGTCAGACCTGACCCTCAGGACTTGAAGCTCTGCCCCCATGTACAGACCTCAAGCTCCCCACCCATCAACAGGTCACCAGGCAGCCAAATGTCTCCCCATTTAGCTGTCCCAGTCTCGGGCCCACTCAGTAGCACAAGACCCCTTTTGGGGACCTCCCTGGAATTGATTGAGCCCTGTTATGGATTGAATTGTGTCTCTTCCCAGATATGTGTTAACTTGTTTGGGTCTTGATTCTCAGTGTTATGTAACCCTCATTTTGTGGTCTGATGTAATTATACTCCTTTTGTGATCTGATAAATTACCCTATGTTGTAAATCCTAACCTCTGTGATGTAAATGGGGAACTCTGGTGGCGTACTGCCTAAGGCATTTGACTGCTAACCAGAGAGCTGGAGGTTCAAATCCATCAGGCCTCGGAAACCCAAGGAAGGGTCCCTATGAGTTGAATCGACTCCACGGCACTAAGGTTTTTTTTTTTTTTTTTTTTTGGTTTATGATGTAAATGAGTGTGTGCTAGTGACATGGTAGTTAAAGCACTCAGCTGCTAAACAAAATGTTGGGAGTTCAAACCCAACAGCGACTCACAGGAGAAAGATGAGGCAGTCTGCGTCTGTAGAGCATCACAACCTTGGAAGCCCTGTAGGGCAATTCTACTCTATCCTATATGGTTGCTACAATTTGAGTGAACTGGATGGCAGTGGGTTTGGGTTTTGGTTCATGATGTTAATGAGGCAGGATCCAATCTGTAGGATTAGGTTGTATCTTGAGTCAATCTCTTTTGAGATATTAAAAGAGATTAAATAAGGGAGAAGAGAAGGAGGGGTCTGCCTATCACAAAGAGGAGACCATGTCCTTTGGACCCAGGCTCCCTATGCTGAGACCCTCCTAGACCCAGGGGAAGATTGATGCCAAGACACACGGAGATCTCCAAGGGGCCACAGATGTTGAAAGGAGACAAGGACCTTCCCCCAGATAGGGAGAGAGAGAAAGTCTTCCCCCAGAGCTGGTGCCCTGAATTCAGACATCTAGTGTCCTAAACTGTGAGAGACTGAATTTTTAAATTATTTATTTATTTTTATTGTGATTTGGGTGTAGAATTACAGACCAAATTCACTTTCCATGCAGCAGTTCACATAACACTTTGTCTCATGACATTGACCACAATTTACCACAATGTGACAGCTGCCCTCCCACTTCCTCCCCATAGTTACCTTTTCGCTGTGTCCTTCCCTCCATGCAATCCTGCCCCCTGAGCTATCTCCCTGTGCATAAGCAGCCCTTCTTTCTCCCATGATTGTTCTATCCAAGGAGTGTATCTACCTCAGGTAAATGTTCAGCTCATATGCCTGTCTTTTGTTTGGTTGGAAGCCACAGGTGTGGGTTCTATTCCAGACCTGAAGGGCAGCTAGGGGCCATAGTCTCAGTGGTTCCACCAGGCTCCATCGGACCAGCAAACCTGGTCCCCCCTCTCCTTGTTTTATTTTCCTCCAAATGATTTTGAGTTTTGGAGAGACTAAATTTTTGTTTGTTGAAGACATCCACTTGTGCTATTTCTTAGTTACCAAATAGCTAAGACAAGCCTCCTCTTCTCCCAAGAAGGGGAAAACCAAGCAGTGACTCACAGCAACCCCGTGTGTGTCAGAGAACTGTGCCCCATAAGGCCTTCAGAGGCTGATCTTTGGGAAATAGATTGCCAGGCCTTTCTTCCCAGGCACCTCTGGATGGACTTGAACTGGCAACCCTTTGGCTAGCAGTTGAGCACATTAACGGT